GCATGGCGGGTGGGGTCTGGCGGCGCCCTCGGGGCCTGAACATTGCTGGTAGTTATTAATATGAAGTGAGGGGTGAAATATTAAATGAAATTGTAAAAGTAGTCATGTTTTGTGGACTGTTGATTTAACCCTTTAAACAGACATATTTGTGAGCAGTGGAAGACCAGTACCGTGCAGATGGGAGTCTGCAGCCTTCAATGAGACTCTCAGTGAAGATTACTTCTAGGCTCAGGCCTGTATTAATATCTCATATATTTAAAAAGAAATCAAGTTTTGGAAAATCCTCTAGGAAAATCTGTTTTGGAAGGATAGTGTGGAAGAGAGTTCTCTCTACAAGCTGATTAAACACAAATCATAGATAACTGCTATAAATGCATGAGACCATAAAGTAGAAAATATTTTTTAGTGCAGATCTTATTTCAGAACATTAATATCCTCACACCTCCAAATTGACAGTTATTTTTTTCTTCTAAAAGATATGCTGAACCAAAAAAAAAAAGATAAGTAGACATTTATTTATAAGAAATGAAGTGAAAACTTACAGTTTTATATAGTTAGCTATGGCTTTCAGTTCAGGAAAACTGGCCAACTTGGAAATAAATGATGGATTCATTCTAAAAGCTATCTGATCCCTTTTGGTCCAATTACCTAGGATCTCCAAAAGTTCATTACTTGTGAAGAAGCCATAACATGGCTGGATATATCCAAAATAGTGCTGAAAGCATGGAAAAGCAACCTATGTAGCAATGTACAATGTATTACTGAGAAAAATCCGTTCTATACAACGAATCTGAGCAATAATGGAGGAGGAGGAAGTATTTAATTTCTGTTTAGAAGCTCAAATAAACTGGGAGATAGCACATAACTGATTAATGAATAAGGTTTTATAATTTTGGTTGCATTGTGAAGCCAGCATAGGCTGGGCTGTTAGAACTTGGAAATTTCGTCAGCCATGATCAGACAAGCGAATCTGTTACAGTGAACATAAAATGAGCTGCGGTACACCTCGTGCTGTGTTTCCTCATCTTTTATGTTCATGGTGCTTAAACTTTATCTGGAATCTTTACAGCTTTATTTTCTAAACTGTTTTTTGTGCAACAGGAGTTTTCTGTGAACACCTGACATTTCCGCTTATTTTTCAAGCGTTTCCTTTGATATGCGTGTGACCTGTTCAGTTAGTTCTTTTTGCTCAATTCTTCATCTTCTTATAATGTAAACTGTTCAAATACCCCAGTAAAAAGCAGCTTTCTCCCAAGTCCTTTGTTATAGAGCAGATTAGCTGTAGAAATTGAATTCTAATAATTTCTTTTCTTCCTTGGCAGAACGCTCCGTCTCTGCCTTATAATGAAATACCTATGCATGGCTGTGAGCAAAAGCTTGTACATAGATCGTCTCATCCTCTTCCAAGGGAAAGGACAAAGAAAAGGGTTGATTTGCAGTGCCCATCTTCAGAATGTAATTTATAGCTCTAGTCTCCCAGAAACCGGCCATTTATGCTGAGGGGCATTTAGTCCAGAACTCTGTCAAGATTTCTTTGTCTGTGTCTCTTCCCAAAGAAGAGTGCCTGCTTTGAACACCTTTGCCTCTGTTGCATATTTCCTAAATCAGACACTCAGGTAGTCTCTATAAGAAGAAATAGCTCCCTTACAGATTATTTTGTTCTCTAGTGTTTAGAAAACCTAGTATTAGCAAAATTGAAGACGAAAAATAAATTTGTGACAAGTAAGGTCAGGCTCACTCCTATATACAATTTGCTCTTAGCATGCTGATATTACTGTTATGGCTATTATAATATTTCTATATATACATAGTTCATATTATAGAGAGATTTGTTTCCATTCCAAGTAATGTTTTTTCATTTTTCATTAAAAACATTGATCTGGAATGTGAATTACTAATGTTACCTAGGCTTTATGTTCCAAAGTTTTTTTTTTCTTTTATACACTCACATATACATTCATACATGTATAGACCTATATTCATATATATTTTATATAATTATGAATCTGCCAATTCGAATTATGGAATCATGCAAGTTCTGTAAAAAGAGCAAGCAATTCTTATTGCTTCAAAAAATAGTCACTATGCAAAATATGATGATCATAAACTTTCATGAGAGCAAAAACTAACATTACAACCATGGTGTTACAGGCAAGAAACAAAGTAGCCTTTGCAATATATCTTTCTATTCTTTGTTAATTTTTTTAGATTAGTTTTCTGTGAATATTATGGTTGAATATTTAGGCCGTAAAACAATATTAAAGAAATGATTGCAGTATGTTACTAGGTTCTCTGGAATCACCATGTTTAGAGCCCAGAAGCAGATCAAGGAAGAGCTATAGAATTTAAAGAAAAAGGAATTCCTTGTAATCTTCCCACAGTAAAATTACCCTAGGGAGCATATTTTGAATGAATAAGAACATCTAGAATGATCAGAAGATTTTGTTATTTAAAGAATAGCTCCTGCAAATGAACAGAATTTCTGTGAAATGAGAGGACAGTCTGCCAGTGGAAACTTGCAGGTGTAAATTCAGAGGGATGAACCATCCCTCAAAGAATATTTAGTTTCCTGCCATCATGAAAGTACATTCCTCTGTTTTCCCGTTTGAGATTACATGTACTTGTAAATTTCAAAGAAACTGGTTTTTACATCTCTATGCTATTCTGGAGCAATATGTACTTTAGTTACCAAAGCAAGAAAGGTATAATTTTCTTCTTAATAAAAAATGCTGTATTTGATGGAATAAACATTATATCCCATCAAATAAATATTTCACTGGAAAAAAAATTAGTTTTCCACTGAGACTTTCTGGGATAATTAGAGTCCATATTCACTGGAGTTAATCTTATGTTTGTAGTTTATATTTTAGTTTGCTCTGTTACATAAAATGAAGTCAAGTTTCAATTTGAGAAAGCAATTTATGAGTGTCTACATGTATGCTTAAACTATATAATCTGGGAACACCTCCCAATCTTTGGACATAAAGGTACGTTTAAAACATTACCCTCTTCCCATTTGTGACCTAGTTAACATGAAAGGAAATCTGGAAGCATGGGTCAGCAGGGAGCCATGGCATGTTTCCAACCTCTCTGAATTGGAGGAACAAGTCTGTGGAGCATGATGAATGTGTAAAAGAAGTCAAAATATAATGAGTAGGATCAAGCACAAAAAAATGTCTTTTAACTAAGTAGGTCCTGAAGACCTGTTGTTTAGCAGGGAAGGTTGGGATTTTTACCTCTGGATTGGGATTTGAATTTGAGTGAATAAAGCTGACCAATTTGCTAAGGAGCAGAAGAAGATTCGGAGCAAAGTGTTCAGTTACAGGAGACAAAAAGGAAACAGGAGACAATGACCAGATTCAGCTATACTTTTGACTCTATATTTCAGCTGAGAGTTTCACAGTTGTTTATGAAGTTTCCTGCTGAAAGTATTGAGGACTACAGGGACTTCATTAGATACAGTATGTGTAGAAAAACAGGCCTGTTTATAGATGTCTACAGGAATGGCACAATAGGGAAACGTTTCAGTTATGCAAAGATCCTGTAGTAGGCCACCAGGATTATCAGGACAGTATAAGATGGATAGAGGATTGGATTTGTTTAATGTTTTGCCTGAGTTTGTTTTTCCTTTGTTTTTCTTTTTTTTTTCTTTTTTTCTTTGATTGAAGAATAAATCTATATCGCTCAAGAAACTCAAGGTATGGCAATAATTCATTTATGGACAGACATTTATAACCAGCAGCTTTACATGAGGGAAGTAGACTCTTAAGAAGGGGAAGGCTTTGGATATAGGAACAAATCATAAATCAAAACTATTATAAGTCTGATAATCTGGGAATCAGAGAAATTGTAGGAGGTGCAAAAGTTGTTTGGTCTTTTGGGCTCAATACTTCTAATTGGAAAAAGTGAAATGCTTATGTTCCTAGATCTTGGGTGGTGGAACTTACCTGAATGATAATGAATTTTTAATGGCATCTCTGATATATTATCCAGTATTACATATGCGGGAAAAACCTTGACAGTTTCCAATTCACAGTTAATTATTTAGCTTAAAAGACTTCTAAAACAAAATGAAACAAAAGATAAATTTGCAAGCTTTTGAAATGCATTTAAAAGCAATACATCATGTTTTAAGATGCTTGGGGGTACCCTTATATAAAAGAGATGTTCATATTAAACAAGGAAATGAGTGGTTAATAGGCTAGATAGTGTGTGGAAGTTGCTGCAATAGTCAGACAATGTGAGTACAGCTTGCAGCATTTTCCAACCATCAATTGGCCCATGTTGAATTGTGGAAATATGGAATAGTAGCTATTGGCCTGAGTTGCTGGAAACTAAATACTTGTTTGCTTGATAATGCAATTGTAGTTACAAATGTTGAAAGTATCACTGTGGAGTTATAAACAATTCAGAAATGTTATAGATCCCAGATGGAATGGTGGAATTGACTGAGCAGGAGTCTGGTCTTTCTATACTCCTTTTCAGGGCATTTGTATATAACTGGTAGTAAACACGGAATTTAGCTCTGCAAACACCAAATGATGCAGCTGGAGGCACATAATACAATTTCTATTATACGGTGGAGCATAGGTAAAAGAAAAAATTATTATGAGTACATTAATCAAACATCGAGTCATTAAGGGGAGGCTAATAGGAGAATTCAGAGGAGATTGTTGTAGAGGTAGAGTAATACTAAAGACACTGGTGAAATATTGTCTTAAGCACTATAGTACTGTTGTTGTCTTCAATGATCAAGAGAGATGAGCTGCACAAGTGCAGAGACAGCCAGAATGACTGGTGAATAATAGTCAGTGTTACAACGAAATATTGAGAGAGCAAAAGGGTACAAGGGAAGAAGCATTTTTGTTACTTACATATATACATATATCTATATATATATAAAGAATAAAAGCCATGA